AAAATGGGACAAACCGAATATTTTGCTGCAGCATAGGCCCGAGCATATTGTTACTTACCCCCCCCCCCTCCCTCCCCCTCGACACTTCATAATATGTCTGTCTCTTGTATAATATCTTATGTACACAATTCTCTCTTTCTCTTTCGCCTTCTTCCTTGTTTACTATCTCGTTCTCGAGTGCTTTTCATTGCTATGGTATAAACATGCACCTCGCGTACATAGTATCACCATTTTTAAAATGGTCCACTCCATTTATAATCAAGGCATAGCCTTTCAATAATTTAAAGAGTATAGCAAATTTCATTTTCAGAAATAACATTATTTGGGCACAATAAATTGTCAAATCAATATCTGTTAAAGCGCTTTATACAATCTAATACAGACTAAATTAACTTGTCACAAATTGGACATAAAGATATTCAAAGTGCGTTATGCCATTTTTTGTATTTTTCAATAGGATATACACAAACACAATGCAGTGTATGCCTGTAATATTATGAGGTAGACATAACTTCAGTACCGGTATCTCCCGTTTCTATGGTTCCATGGAATACTCGCGGAATTCCTCACTGTTACTATAAATCACCATCAAGCTCGACACGGGATCATGTGTTTACGTGTCGAGTAAGATTAGAACTTGACATAAACACCACCATCCATCATCCTTACGAGCACCAACACGAAGACGAGCACGACATGCAGAATAGTATAAATGGTGCTTTCATCTTACCTCTCGTTTCCATGCCGGTAGATCGTCTAGCGCCTCTACAAGGAGCTCGCTCTCGTCAACACCTCACCACCATGTATATACAAGGTCGTCTCGAAAAGATTCAACGTCAGGTTGAATCCCCGAATCAAATCGTTCAGATAATACGGCGCCTTACCCGCTCCCCTTGTCTGTATGCAAACACAATACACACACAGTATAATAACTCCCGCACGCAAGTCCCGCAGCCTATAGCCCTCTCGCTTGACACTAATTTAAATCGCCGGGGTCAAGCGAAGATGCCGGTCACCAATCGTTTACTGTCGATGCAAATTGATAATTCATCCTTTTGAAAAGACTTCCCAGACTATCATCACAAAAGAGACACGTGCAACTCAAGATTATCTTCTCAAGGTCGAGATCGATATGGGCGTCTTTCTCTGTATAACATTAGGTACATTGAAACACACAGTAGCAGTCTACAGTGGTTACTGTTCCCTGTCTTACGTGATAGACTGTGAATTTCTGGCCGAATACTCCTCATATCAACGAGCGAAATTGGCGCGAAGCAAATTGCTCGCTCGCTGTAAAAATCTCTTAAATACACCCCTTATCATCGGATGGCGTTTTGTTGAATAGTGTGTCTCGCCCTACACATTCGAATACGCCATGTAAATTGATGCCACCGGCAGGCCTATATTATGATCTCTTTTGTATATTAACATTGCTCTATTTTATTTTGATTAAGGAACCTGGAAAGCGTCTTTCTTTGCCCTGCCTGCATGTATGGCTTTGAGCGATGCTATCTTGGTGTTTATTTAGGAGGGGTTATACGACTGAACGCATGAGTGGTTGAATGCTCGTGCATAACAAATCAAGTGTATAAATATCAGATGGAAACATAGTGCAAAATTATATAGTCCTATAAATAAATATATATATATATATATAGTATGTGTGTGTAAATATTTGTAAAATTATGTTTATCCAGTTCTGCATGAGCACGTTTGTCATAATTTCGTTTATTATAACCAATTGATCGACAATTTAAACGGTCTTAGTTCCATTTCCCTCTCCATTATTGCCATCTCATAATAGCTATAATCAGGCATGCGGATGCTGATGTCACACATATTCTTGCATCGGATGTAATTTGGTTTTTACTCAGCCACAGAAGACTTAAAGAAATATTGACAGTCATTAAACAATAACAAATGTTTATTTCATTTTATCTTGTAAAGGAAAACACTGACAAAGAATGAATTAGCAAATAGTGTATTAATACAGAGAGTAATCATTATGTTTTACGAATATAGTGCGCGGTTTCATCTCCACTTTGTCCTCAAAATAGAGATTCTTTCTGATTGAATTATCTAAAAACATGGCATAGATTTGAAACAATACATTATTGATGAAACATGGTCATCATCACTAGATCTATCGTATTATTTTCAATTAAGTCGTTGGTTAATTATGTAAACAATTTGATTTTCAAGTGAGCATTGTTTGCAAGATAACCACGATACAGACGGTTTTCATAATGAGATGAACAAAATATACACCAGAGGCAAAAGCTGTCGTATGTTAACACCCCATCTTCTTTGTTAGTCATGTGACTGTTGCCATGGGAAAGTGTCGCAGATGATGACTAATCGTCTAAAGAGATTATCTTCTGCTTGCAGGGACATTGGCGAGAGTGCATGAGTGGAAGAGAGAGAGAGAGAGAGAGAGAGAGAGAGAGAGAGCGAGAGAGAGAGAGAGAGAGAGAGAGAGAGAGAGAGAGAGAGAGAGAGAGAGAGAGGGAGAGGGAGGGAGAGAGAGAAAAAAAAGGGTGGGGGTGAGATACAGAGAAAAATATAGATGAGGAAGAAAGTGAGAAATAATGGAAGGTAGTGAGTCTGAGAGACAAAGGTGTAGAGTGAGATAAAGAAAGATAGAATTTGAGAAAGGAGGGGGAAAGGGGGGGGGGCGGAGAAAGAGAGAAATTCTAATTAGTGTTACTTGACGTTTGTCTGGGAAAACGTTAAGGAGATGCTGTCTTGGGTCGACGCTATGATAACAACTTGAATCTGGATTATTCGAACTTAAAGAAATTGAATTGAAATATAATGTAGACAGATTTAGGGGCGGATCCAGCAGGCGGCAGGGGAGGGGGTCATAGAGGGGGCCCAATTCGTGAGAAAAAATTAAGCAGCGAAACAGCCAGCCAGTGAATAAGCGGGGGGGGGGTGGGGTAAGGAGCACCATTTTTTTGTTTTGCTCCCGAAAATTTGAAAATTCGCTCCCCCCCCCCCTCCCTTGAGGCCAAGGGGAGGGGGCCCGTCACCAAATAAAGGTAAAATTATCGCGTTTTTTCCTGTTTTTTCCAAGGGGAGGGGGCCCAGGCCCTCCGGGCTCCCTCCCTGGATCCGCCAATGGACAGATTTATACAATCTAAAACATGACAATCTGCAAAATAATTATCTGTCCCATAATTATTTTTGTCTGTCCCCCCTCTATCTTTCTCTCTCTCTCTCTCTCTCTGTCCCTCTCTTTCACTTTTCTCTCTCTCTTCGCCTTTCTATCTTTCTTTTTCTTCAGTCTTGTCTTTCTCTCTTTCTTTCTACCTTCCTTCCTTTTAATTGGAGGATCCATGGGATATGAGCCCCCGCCCCCCTGAAAAAAAGTCAAAAAGGGAGGGGAAGAAAGAGAGAAAAGAGCAAGTATTTGACCCCTCCCCCTTGTTATTGTTTGTTTTATTTGTTGGGGGGAGGGGTTGTGTTTAAAAGAAAATTATAATCAGAGAATCTTCAAACTTGCGCCCCCCCCCCCCCCCCCCCCCCCATTCCAATTCCCGTTCCGAAAGAGAATCCTCCTCATCTGCTTTTCGGTAGTATTTTCCTTCATTGTTTTCGACCTTCGATCCTCTCACATCTACATTGATAAAACTCATGCTTGTCATTATGCACATTGTATACGGTGGAGCATCACCACAGTAGAGGGCGTTTTGAAAGATAATTTCACTGAAGATTGAGTCGCTCATTATGATAGAGGCCATTTCGACTCGAGCATGTTCACGCAAGATAATGCAGCTTTGATATAGAAAAAGAGTAGGCCTACAAGGAGATTTCGAGTATGAATGAAAGAAGCAGAAATCAAAGCGCATATCAAAATTAAAATCAAACTATTTTGAAATCCGAACATGTGGGATCATTCTAAACAATTTATCAGTTTACATAGGATAGGCCAAACAAAAAAATAGGCCCCAATGTCAAAATAAGACTTCTAGAAGTAACAACACCCCTCAAAAAAAAAAATGTATACTGCTATAAGCCAATTCAGGAGAGATGGTAATATATAATGGTGGATATCTCATTCGTTGAAGTTCATTAGAACTAAACCTTAAATTTCTTTTGAGGATGAATTAAGGCGACCGAGGGGGACAAAGTTTGTAATTCCTTGGACGTTGATGATTTGGCCTCATTTTCTGTTGCAAAGTTTGTTGCAAAGTTTGTTTACCCCCTTTACCCACTTGTTGGAAAAAAGAAATTTTATTAGTTTCATATCAATTTTACACTGAAAAGATATTCAAGTTATACAAAATAAATAACAAAAAAAGTACAGGTGAAGCCTATTGCATAAAACGATCCAAAAAGGCAAATACAATACCCATTTCCTATCAAATTTATCACACTGATGTTTGCTTTTTTTTATAAAGAAGAACCTTCCTTGATCAAAAATTTGATATGTATTATTTATTTTCACTGTTTTTCTTGTTCTTGTTCTTGTTATTTAAATTCATGAATGCATGGGTGAGTCCAATATCCTCTATTCTTGTTCTTGTTTTTTTTCTTGCTCTTGTGTCTTTTTTTTTTTTTACTTCTTCTTCTTCTTGTTCTCCTTGTTCTCCTTCTCTTTCTTGTTATTGTTCTCCTTCTTGTTCGTCTTGCTCTATTTTTTCATTGTTCTTCTCCTTGTTCTTGCTTTTCTTCTCCTTCTTCCTATTCTCTTTTGTTCTTCTTCTTCTTTTCCTTCTTCTCTTTCTTCGACCAGCGCCTTGTCTTGTCCCTCTGCTTTTACGGTGAATAAAGATTTAGAAAACAGCTACTCCTCGCCATCCCTCGGCCTTCCAGCCAACATCACTGTAGATTTCAGTCGAAGCAGGAAGTTGGAATGGATAACTCTCGGTCAAAGCTAGTATGATCTGCTTTCAGTCAAAGAGCGCCAGCTCTAATTCGTTACGTTGAAGAAGGGCGCGACAAGTTCCCATAGGCGCGCCCCATGTAGGCCTTGTGCACATATTGTGTACCATGCGAGCGATCGCCAAGCGAAATCCGCCCCAGCTCAGCCAGCCGAATAGCGCACCTCGACCTATATTCATCATCACAACATCCGGCCGCCGCTCAGCTCCGCTGGTGTTCCATGTGATAGATGTAATGCTTGAGAGGTAAGAATATTATTGTTAATGATGAAAATTCTGAAATGATACATTGCTTATGATTGCTTCTGCGAGATGAGATGATAAGGAGATGAGATGGAGTCATGACGATTGTGAGTTTGTGTAATTTCCTGGCCTTGGTGTCTACGTGTCTAAGGGAACGTAATTTTCATATGTGGATTGTGTGGTGTATTGACAATTACAAAAAATGACATGTGCATCAAGTCATCATTGCCATTGCCATTGCCATTGCCATTTGTATATCGCAAGAACTGAACATCTGAAATGTACTGGATGGATGCTTATCATTATCTGTGCTTATCAGTGATCAAGAATAACAGGAATCATATGTAAATTTAATGTCTGATGTGACAAACAATTTGAAGGAAGAAATGGATGATGAATGGGCTAAGTAATGCATTTAGTGATGAGCTGGTGATATTGAAGGATGGAACGATTGGCATGATTGGTGTGGATACATGTGTGAATGAATGTGGACATGGTGGATCGATTAATAGATGAATGATTAGAGGAATGTATGAAGAATATGAGTGGATGAGTGTATTCACTACACGAATGATCAATGAAACAATGGTTGGATGGATAAATGAAAGTCTGAATGGCTGGATGGATGAATGAAAGAAAGAATGACTTTAGATGAATGAAAGAATGGATGGATAGATGAATGATTGGTTAAATATTTGGACAGACAGGTTGATCAATGATTTAACCTGCAGGTACATGTACATGTAGGTCATATATTGATTTGATTCCAGTATCAGTGGTATATCATTGAGCCCAACCTGTGAAGGGCACTTGCATTATTGGGGGGGGGGGGGGGGGGGCACCAGTCTCATTTGGAAAATGCTATGCTAATTTACAAGGTCTTTTGTTCGGGAGGTGTAGGAGGGGGATAGATAATCTTTCTATGTGTCATTTCTCATTTCTTTCATTCATTTTCTCTCTTTATTTTTTTGCTTCATTCTTCATTCAATGGGGAAAAAGCATGTGCTGCTGTGCTCCTTGTAGCTTCAATACATATGTACCAGAACGATAATTTTTAAACAAAGTGTATGCTACCCTGCTTTCTAAATCATGAAGATTGAAGTATAAGTAAAAGACTGCGAGAGACATGAAAATTAAATACATGGTAAAGGAAAGGCACAAAAAATCTTTTCAATTCATGTAGTAAGAGCATTTGAAAGTTTGGCTCCAAGCAGCTGATATGTAATGTAACTAATTTTCCAAATCTCATTCATGACCCTTTGAAAGAAACAGGCAGACAGAAATGGTGGTTAGGAATAGCTTTTACTACCTGGGCAAGTTTAGACCGAAGAAATAAATGTGATTGTGAAATATTTGTGGTTTGAAATAATTATCAGACCCAAAGATAGAAAATGTTGCCACATTTTGTCCTGAAAATGATATTTTGAAGAAAATATGGCCTAAATGTTCTTCACTTCTACTGATATACCACTCCAAGTGACAGGTGTGTTGCGCTCCTTTGCTTGATACCAAAACTTGCCACAGTAGTACGCACACAACTTTTGTTGAGTTGCCCATCTATAAAGTCATGCATGAGATTGATGGCCAGGGCTTTCATAGACCACCAGTTGGAACATGTGCAGTACTGGTATAAGCATTCTGCCCCCCCCCTTCCTTGTCAAATAGTGTCATAATAAATGTACATGATGTTCGTTCATGCAAGCTTTTGAAAATATAAAAAAGCTTTCTTATTTGTTAAATTATAGGAGTATTTTATTTATTTCTTATTTGTATTATTATTATTTATATATCTTTTTTATTTTGAAAGGGGGGTGGGGGTGGGGGTTCTCTTGTATACATAAGCCTACAAATGGACACACATTCATTAGAGACCTGTATGTTCAGTGATTAAGAAAATGATAACATTATCATAATTGTCCTTCTTCTTGAATAATACTACATTGTATTGGTGGTTAATTTATTCATTCTTATTGATGATTCTGACCTGCATGTATTATGGCAAATTGTCTGCTGCATGAGATGAGAGCTAGATGGAATAACACCCTTCTGGCTCCTAACAGATGAAAACTCATTACATATCATAGAGAGCCCATTCTGATGAGCAAAGGTTGAAACGTGATTCTATCAACTACTTCATCTAACCTTTCCCTGGGTGGAACATCTCCAAGGGATTGCGAGATGGCCATCTTTTTTCAGTTGTCAGTTGAGAAAGAGAAGAAAATATGCTTCCAATTTCCTGACTTTCAGATCCAATAAGCTTGGCCCATTCTATTTGTGATGTACGGAAGTACAGTGAACCCTTCTTGGATTGTATGTAAGGTCTAAAAATATCTTGCTCAATAGGAGAGACTCTGACTCTCAATACAGCACATTTTTTGTTTGGTTGACAAGAGTCTGAGAAATTTATGAAAAGGGTGGAGGTGATGATGAAGATTGAGAAGAAGTGGGAGAAAAGAAAGAAGGACTGAGAAGAGAGAGAGAGGGAGGGGGGGGGGAATTGATAGGAAGAAAGATTTCCAAATTTGTATTCTTGTATAGTGAAACTTTGTATGAAAATTTGAAAGAAGATTATTTAAATCGAATAATGCACTCTTCTATCTCGCAACAAATCTTCCATTCACAGTCTCCTTATACCTTTTTTCTTTTTTCTTTGTAGTTTTGAGGAAAGATGTTTTCATTAATCTTCAAATTTGTTCAATTTTCGTCACACATGGAAGATTGTAGAGAGCCTTTTAAGGATGAACTGCTGATTGACAACTCCCGAACAGGCCCAGGTCTTGTTGTTGGGTCCCATACATAGAACAGATGTCCTTGTTTGTTACATAGTTGCATTTCTCTCATCACATCTCCATTTCCAAACTTGTCACTAACTAACAAGGCCTGACTCTTCTGAATGCTTGCCCCAGGAGTGTAGAGGGCCCCAATGTTTACCATGTGCAATCAGGCCAGTTTTTATGGATGGGGTCAGGATATGTTTTTCTTCAGGTCAAACAATTTGTGGCCTTCAGTCACAAGAATTGTAGAGAGGTGGCATTTGAAGAGCTGAATTTGCAGAGCTGGCTAACCCAAGCCCGGAGAAAATTCTGAGAACTGGCTGGTATTTCAAGAGGGAGTCTGAAATCTGATGAATTTTGAAGATTCATAATTTATATGCTTACCGGAAACTAGGAAAGTAAACCTACATGAGACCAGCAACAGCAACAACATAAAAATACAGTAATTGTGACTGAATAATTAATTACCAGTTATTTTAATTTTATTACAGGAGGTCCAAATTGAAATGTTTAAATGTCTGTATGCTTGGGGCCCAGTTTCTATTTTTATAAATGTTTAGGGCTCACAGTGGCCCAGGGCCCTTAGTAGTGTTAAGCGCTGTATAGTATACAATTTAGGCTAATTATTACTGGTTGAGACTGCAGGGTTCTGTTGTTCATGGCAGTATTTAAATAATGTACCCCCAGCTTACATGATAGAAAACGAAAAAACACACTGTTTGTAGCTCAGATCCACAATATATAATTATCCAATTTTGTTAAGGCTCGGAATGTTTCTTCTGGGTTTTTGTTAGCTTCTCGTTTACACACGTACAGTTATATGGAGCAAACTTTATTGAGATTCATAGGTACTCAGTGGTGCATATGAATAGCCAGCGCTAAAGTAAATTTGTGGGACTGAGTTGATGGCTTCTCTTTCTTTCATATGTATGTTTTCATGTGTTGACTCAAACCCTTGCTCTACTCAATCCCTCATGCATTACAAGAGGTGGTTTATTTACAGGATCCCATAATAATGGGGATTGCAGGAAAAAGAAAGCAATGGACCAAGAAAATCTTTATACATCAGTCGAAAAGGGCGGCTTTGAAGGTCTGCACACAACAAAAGTTGTGGCAAGTGAATGGGAGATTGCTCAGACTCTGCTGAATGGTGGCTTGTTATGAAATAGCAAGGATTGGAGGCTGGCAAGCTTTTAAAGGTGCTCTTTGACATTTTAAAATGACATGTGAAGCAAGATCAGTTCCAAGTTGCTATGGCAGCAATATAACCAGGAAAATAAACAGTGATTTTTTTTAAATGTTGGTAGAGAGAAAGAGAAAGAGGGGGGGGGGGGGGGGCTACAGCTGTGCTTCCGAGATATATTGAACAACCTGAAAATATTTATTGATTTGAGAACTAGGAAAGTCCATCATAAAGTAAAGTTTGCAAAAAGAGCTGAAAATGAGAATTAATTACGTGTATTTGGAGGAAAATAAAAAATCTAAAAAACTACATGAAGAAAATAATAATATCCATATATAGTTCTGTAAATTTTGTATTGGCATGTCACATCATAAAATCTCAATAATTTCTTAATGATAGTCATATTGAAATAGACATGCATATTTGATATAAGGCCGCATACCTGTGATATATTTGATAGATGTATGCCTAGCAGCCTTTTCACACACAGCTAAAATTCATCGTATCATAATCTAGAGATGATTAGAATCACTCAACAGTTTTAAACATGTTTATAGACAAAATTTCCCAGTGTGAACATCGTTTATACGATGTTGGGATAGATACGAAGTCGCGATCCATACGCCCCTAAAAGCAGGCTGCAGATATGAAGTTCGTATCTAGAGAGCTTGACATTTTGTGTGTGAAAGGAAATTCGTGTTTAAACGTGTTTAAACTGGATGGAGCGTGCGCTTTGATTGATATGACATGACCTTCAATGCGCAATGGCACTACTGCGCATTTTACGAGCAGTAGTTAATCACGAAACTATTAACGATCGCATCGAAATTTCTGTGTGTGAAAGGCTCGTGATTAGTTTAAACACGTTCGAAACACGTTTATACTAATCATGTTTATAGAATTTTAGCTGTGTGTGAAAAGGCTGTAGAATGTAATTGAGGGGAACCAATAGTTTGGGCTACTCTCAACTTTTCACTCTAAACTACTTTAAAGTGTGGCAGACCTTTATTGTATAGGGGGCTATTACAAAGATGGTGTCCATGAAA